TTTGTGTCCTTTCTAGGCTAGTTTGTGATCGTCTACTTTGACAATATCTTGATCTTTAATCGAACCCAAGAAGAACATCTTCTTCACTTGACACAGGTTTAAGAGACTCTCCGAAAGGAGATATTTTATGTAAACTTGCAGTTTATGTCATCATATGTATACTTCTTAGGGTTCATCGTCACTGTTGACGGTGTAGAAGCAGAACATGACAAGGTCAAGGCCATCAGCGAATGACCTACTCATACTATCATTCATGAGGCCAAGAGTTTTCATATGTTGGTCACTTTTTATAGAAGGTTTGTTAAAGGGTTTAGTATCATTATAGCTCCCATCACGGGTTATCTTACAAAAGAAAAGTTTGAGTGGAGTAGATCTGCTGCTAGAGCTTTTGAGAAGGTTAAGGAGAAGTTGACTACTGCCCCAGCCCTTCACCTTCCTGATTTCTCTAAGGTCTTTGAGGTAGCTTGTGACGCTTTGGGAGTAGGTATTGTTAGTGTGTTGAGTCAAGAGGGACATCCTATCGCTTTCTTTAGCAAGAAGTTGAATGAAGCTCGACAACGCTATCCTAATTACGGCCGAGAGTTTTACGCTATAGTGAAGAGTTTACGATATTGACATCATTATTTACTTCTTGCGGAGTTTTATCTTATACTACGACCATCAAACCCTACGATATTTGAATTCTCAAAAGAAGTTAGGGCACCGGCATGTCAAGTAGGTTGAATTCATACAGAAGTACACTTTTGTTCTCAAACATTATGCAGGTATTGAGAACAAACCCGTTGACGCTTTGAGTAAGAAGGTCGCCACTTTGCAGTCTATGAGTGCACAAGTGGTAGGATTAATCGAGTCATTCAGGACTACCCTACTTGTCAGGATCTTGGTGAGATCTATGCTTCTTTGACACATGATAATCCTATTTTTATAATAGGTTTCACCATTGTCGATGGTTTTCTTTTTAGGGTAGCCGCTTATGCATTCAATACCTCCTTCGTGATCATCTAATTTGGGAAATGCATGTGGGAAAAGCTGCTAAACACTTTGGCCAAGACAAGACGACGATATTAGTTGAGGATAGATTTTGTTGGCTGAGTGTTAAGCGAAATGTCGCGAGAGTTGTGTCATATTGTCGGGTATGTTAGGTTGCTAAGGGTAGAAAGCAGAACACATGTTTATACACTCATTTACCTATACCTTTTGTTTCATGCCACGATGTTAGCAAGGTCTCCCTCGCACATTTAGGAAGCACAATTTGATATTGGTTGTAGTGGATCGCTTTTTGAAGATGGCACATTTTATTTCTTGTAACAAAACTGTAGATGTTTCCCATGTTGCGCACCTCTTTCTTAAAGGGTCTTCCTAAGACTATTATTTCAGATAGTGATGTGAGGTTCATGAGCCACTTCTGGAAGACACTCTGGAAGAAGCTCAATACTTCATTATAGTTTTCGACGGCTTATCATGGTCATATTGATAGGCAAATTGAGGTGGTGAACAGTAGTCTAGGAGACTCATTACAATATCTAGTTGTTGATCATGTGTCTGGATGTGATTTGGTGCTACCTAAGGTAGAGTTAGCATATAGTAGGTCGGTTAATAGGTCTACTGGGTTGAGTCCATTTGAGATTGTTACAGGTTGTCGACCTAGGAGACCTATAGACTTACTACCAGTGCCATTAGGAGCTAGACCCATCGCTTCAGCTGAGTCCTTTGCACAACATTTGCATGATTTGCACAACAAGATTCACAGATAGATAGCAATAAACAATGATAATTATAAGTTTACTGCAGATTCTCATAGATGATTGCAGAAATTTTCAGTTGGAGACATAGTTATGCTTAGGGTTCGACCTGAGAGCTAGGGAACCTATGGGGTACCTACATGCTTTAGGTACAAGTCCATTTCAAGTTCTGAGGAAGGTTGGTTCGAATGCATACGAGTTAGACATCCCGCGAGATTTTAGCATCAACCTGGTTTTCAATGTTAAGGATTTAACTCCTTATCATGCACCTGTGAGACTATCAGACAACAATCCCAGAGCTTACACCCTTAGATTCTGCAATACCATAAGCATAGCAGATTCAAGCTACACCAGCTATGTAGCCAAGGAGACGCCCATGAGAGGAGATCGAGGATATTTTGCAGGATGAGATTGTTTCGACAGCAGATGACGGTTTCTAGAGATATCTAGTTTATTGGCGTGGGCGATCTGATTCAGACTGCACTTAGCTATGGACTGAGGAGATTTGAGCAGCTCAACCCATATGTACTAGATGCTTATCATCACCAGGTGAATGTTTCAAAGCCAGGGATAGTTGATGGGAATCCTTGGAAAGTCCATGTGACAAAGAAGAAAATATGAATCGGATTTCTAGAAATTGATGCTTTGAGATCTCTAGAGATTGAGTTCGATGCTTTTGAGATCATATTGGATTGTCATGGGATTGAGTTAGATACCCAGGGATTGGATTTGATTGTTAGGATTTTTAGTTTTCTTTTTTATAAGAATTTTTATTTTGTTCCTAAGAAAGATTGTTGCCTTTTGTTTTTTTAAAACAAGGGGTGTAAGTCTCTAGATAAGGCAGACTTGATTGAATAAGAATTTTAGATTTCTAGAATGACATGTGAATTGCTAAATGGTGTGATGCCATATGTGTGAAGCCCCTCTTTTCAATTGAAATCTCATTTATTCTTAGCCCTCTATTCTAAATCATCTTCAAATCTCAGCCCTTAAATCATAACCCTACTTCTAACAATCTGCTAAACTCCTTAGCCACCAACCTAATCACCAGATACGTGAACAGCAAACTCTGGTTACTGTTCACCACTTCCACCTTTGCAGAAACTTACAAATCAGCCGTGAACGTCTTTGAAGAGCAACATATTTCTAAATTAGAGACTCAACACTCTAATTCTATCTGAACAATTAATTTTCAGCAGTGTTTCCTTTGATCTGTTACTTGATTTCAGACTCAATTCAGTTCCTGTATGATTTTGTGTTTGAGTTCCTTACACCCTCAGGTGACCTCTAATCAGAATCGCACATTCAAATCTTGTTCCTCCAACGCTATAGAACTTGTAGTCAATTTATGAATATCATTGGTTACTGTTCTCTATATGTGGATCTTGTTCACATGATCATTGCATGCATATAATTAGATTGCACCCACATTTAGGATCCTATTAGACTTTTGCATACATGGCTAGTTGCATGCACTTAGTTGTTTTCTAGGTTATCATCCGTGTGATTGCTTGAGTCATTTGGCATTAGTGCTTTCCCTTGTCCTGTCGTGCGTCAATAGTAAACATCAACAATTAACTAGGATTTTCAAGTAATAAAATAGCCAACAAAATAAATTCGGAAAATTGAGATAACTAACATCCTTATAAATAGTTATTCCCATACTAATTCCCAATTACTTTTTTTCCTATGGTTATTGGAGTTACAGGCCCTTCATGAGACCTATATTCATAATAGTTCTCTTAATCACTCTCTAATTTTTGGACTGATAAAAAATCTATTGACTACTAGTTGGTTCCAGTCTAGATCTTCATTATGTTAATTCTCTCCATCACCACCACACCCATCATTCGTCCTCCACAACTATCATGCCTTCCTTCTCAACAAATCAAAAGTATCTAATCTCAATCTCATTCTCATTCACAATAAGCATTTACTCTTCCACTTCCATGACTACAAGTTCACAACCATAACCGCCATCTACTCTATTAAAGAGCCACAAGTTCCTTCTTACAAACCAAATATCAAACTCAAGTCTAAAATTATAATCCAAGCTCAAAATATGGTCTCTCCTTCAGCCATTTCTCCTCACACCACCAAAACCACCATTGGCCATAATCACAGCTTCCTTAATCCACCATCGTTTCCTCCATCCTCCTTGCCTTATATCCTCTTATATCACAACCAAAACCAACAAACTACCACCATTTTTATCACCACTAAAACTTTGCCACCTCTTTTTTCATCGCATCATAGTTAAGCAATGCATTTAAAATGGAGATTATAAATAAAAAATAATAGATTTTATGTTGTAAGGATCACATGACCTGATTCAGAAGGAAACTGCAACAGAATACTGATGTGCATAGTACAGAGTATTTTAGCATTGGAAATAAAGTTTAATAGTGATGTTATCACTAATAGATGAATAGTGCAAGGTTGATACAGATATCAGAAATTTAGGTCAATGAAAATTAGAACATGAATACCATAGTAAGTACACTTATCATATATGAATAAAAAACAGGATATATAGGTGATGTACTAGTTATTAAATGATGTTATTTGCACTAGGCAGTAAGTTATGTATGTGCAACCAAGCATGAATCTAGGTGCTTGAGAGCCACCCAACCAGGAAGTCCAGGACACACATTATTGTAGCAATGGGATATAAGCAAAGAAATTAGGTTCCTCGGCACCTAAGATAGAGTGAGTCAAACAACAATTTTGATCACACAAGGAAAAAAACATTTGTACGAGTAAATTAATGATCAATGAGAAAAAAAAGGTAATGTAACAAAAGCAAAAGTATTTGCTTTTAAAAAAATTGGTCCTCGATCATCTCCCACATCGCCATCAGGTTGCATGAGAAGACAAGAGAGATACATTAACCATCTCAATCACAAGAAAATAATCATCCATTAGCTATAAAAAGTAACAAGGGATAAATTTGCCATGTCCAATAACGGCATTTAAGTTAAAATGCGTATTGGCAAGGCAACACATTAGCTTTGCCAGCCCATTGCACTAAAACTCACAATTATAATTACAATATTATTTAGTTGAAAATGTTGAAACTAGCCAGTAAACATAAACTCAGACCTGACGATTTACAAATAAAATGAACTAGTAAAAAATTCCCTAAGAAACAAAACAAAAGGAGGAAAAAAATGAAAACCATTGCACTCAGTTTACTGGTAAGCATTTCAGAAGAATCACAACACATAAACCAATGCTATAAGTTAGTGAAGAGCAAACCTGGTGTATGGGGGGATACATTGAATTTGTACAAACTGGGCACTCGAGAAGCTCATGCACTCCACTTGAAGAAGACACAATCGCTTTGACACCCGAAACTGAAGAAGGCTTACTGAGAGGAACATCCCCAAGTTCTATCCTATCAACTGACTGCTCACTATCCGAGGATTGGGATTCAGGGACATCCATGCAGATATTACCACCAGGAGCCATTAGAAGAACTCTTTCAAGTCAATTTCTCAACTCAGATAAACAATAACTAAATGCACGAGATTTATGCAGATTCCTCAGGTTTTCAATGCATCCATGATGCCATCATTCACAGTTTCCTATATTCCGCTGGGTTCAATCATCATCAAATAACCTGAATAATTCATAATTTATGAAACAGCACTAACAAGTAAAATCACATATAAGATCATTTTCTGAAAAAAGGAAACAGCAAAGCGTTCAAGATCAGAACTTTTAACTTTCTAATCATTAGGATAATGCAACAGATTAAAAAACCTAAGATTCATTATCGAAGCGATAACAGGCACTAATTGCCCCTCCATAAATTGAAATTCGAATTGAGGATTAAAGATCTAACGAAACCCTAGAATCATACCTCGAAAGGAAACCTCCCAATTCCCACACAAATCATCATCCATATTCTTCCGAGCTTCAAATAAAGCTGGATCCTTTCCCGTTGAAGAAAAATCAAAAGCAAAACAACGCCAAGATCAAACAAAAGAGGATTGATTAGAGCGAACGAGAATCGCGATTGGAGCAGCAGAGACCAGAGAGAAAATCCAAGAAAGCCCTAATTGATGATGATGATGACGACGAGATAAAATTAGGGCTGTTATGATTAGTTAATAATAATAGTATAATAACAATAATAATTATTTTGATGATCGTGTTGTTGGATTAGTCCTCGTCGGTTCTCGTTGTCCATTTGTAGAAGCCTGCCAGCAGCGACCTGAAGTTTATGCCCCAATTGCTCCCATTTTAATATTCCCTTATTTATTTATTAATTATTCACTCACTTACTTTTAAAGAAGTATTTATATATAAACTAGTTTTTACACACGGGCAATGCACGTGATTTAATACCATGATTAAGTATTTTTAACAGTTTATGCTTATTTTTTCCTTTAAACTCTTACATCCCGATTATTTTTTTATGTTTGTTTAAATGGGATACACCCAATTTAAATTTTCATATTGATATTTGAATTGACAAAAAAAATATAATTTAAAAATAATTTGAATTTTTATATTATTTTTGGCCGATATGAAACTAAGCTTTATTTGAGAAAGTATAGCATTGCAAAGTGAAAAATATTAAAATAGTGTTATACAAGGAAGGTGAATATTTAAAACGAATATGGCAAAATGATTGATTTAAAGTATGTTAAAACGATGCAAAAGAGAATATGAAGTTTATTCCTAATCATTGATAGACTTCATAAAAAAATATAAATTAAAGATTAATGCTAACTCTAGTATACTTTTATATGATAAAAACATCCACATAAGAATATAAAAGTACTGAAAAATTTTTATGAAACTCCCTTCTAAAGATTCCTAATTTCACTCAAAATAATTAAACTATTCTATAAAATATTCATAAAATATTGTTTTTATTTCTTCTATTTTATTTTTTATTGAGTTAAGATTAATCCTTCTTCAGGTTTGTCATTTATTATTTCTCGGAAAATTCTAGAGTATTGTATTCATCATCTACATTAATTGTGACATCAGGCTAATTTTGTATTTTTTATGCTATTATCTTTCCTGGGCTCGTTAATTTTTTATCATCTCATTTAACTTTACAAAGAAGTCAAATGTACTTATGATGTTCAACACAAACTGCTCAAAATATAGACTTTGATTTTTTTTCTATTTCAATGAGAATAAATATTAATTTCATATATATAAAATTCTTTGTGTTCCTAATTTATTACTTAAGTAAATTAGAAGCTATCTCTTTATTTTCCTCTAAAATGAATTCTTCTGATGTGCATCCAATAAGAATTTCTGTTATTTCAATAATATTACCTTTGCTCTATCCCTGTCATTTTCCATAAAGATCTAAACTAAATACCTGCATTATTCATTACCAATTTCTCTTAGATTATAATATTAATATTTAATTTGAAGAACACAGTATGGAATTTATGAATACTTACTAATTTTTCTTATGTCTTCCATGGAGATTTTTTCTTTGATTAGGATAAAGTTATTAAATTATTTTTTAATGTAACTCATTCAGTGCTTCATTAATAGATATGTCTTATGTTAATGCCAATTCAAGTGATTCATTGACGTTTTCTGAATTTTAGATTTATTTCCATCACTTTCCCATTTGCAATGGAAATAACTCAATTCTTTTAAAGTTATCTCTAAATATTCTAATAGTTTCTCCATATGTAATTCCTTGTATTCTTTTACCCTATAAATATTATTAACGTCAAAGATTAAAGTTTCTAAATTAAAATCAATTAATGCTAAGGTATAATATTATAGTGTTTTATCATTTCTATGGATTTAAACATCTATCAATTAATGTTACGAATGTATTTTGGCTACCCCAACTTATTACTAAAATTATATGAAATTACTTTAATTTATATAGTGCCGATAATTTTTAATCTATAATATTTTTAAAAATTTTATCCATTAACCGGATGTTTTTAATCAATTCTTATTGTTTTTGTTTACCAGTATCAACTTAGACTATTCTTAGATGCTGAAAATGGATAGTAAATCCCTAAATTAGAAATTTTAATATATATATATATATATATATATATTAAAAAAATTTACTTTTAAGTTTGGTAGTTGTAAATTCTATGTTTCATGTGTTGGTGGTAATTTTTTAAATGTTAGTATATTTCTTGTAACTCTAAAATTTTGAGGGTGTCTTTTGTAATTATTAAAACTATAGATTAATTTTGAAAAATATTAAATTTCAGCGGTCTACCAATCGACGAATTTGATGTGTGCTAGTTAAAAATTTTGAAAATTTAGAGTTTTTTTTACGATTTTTAAATTTTGAAGGAGTTTTTTAAAATTTTGAGGTTAATTTTGGCAAATTTTAATTTTTAGGTGTCTAAGGGTAATATCTTGAATTCATCTTATTTTATTTACAAATTTTAGAATTTTAGGGTGGCTTTTTATAATTTAAACTTTTAAAGGTGTTTCTATAATTTTTGAGATATTGAGGGTGTTAATTAAAAAATTTAAATTTAAATGTCAAAAAATTTAGGTGTATCATAGTAATCTCTTGAATTCATCTATGTTGTTTGTATGTTTTAATTTTAGAATTTTAATGTGCTTGTCTGTAATTTAAACTTTTGAGGGTGTTTCTATAATTTTTGAGACATTGAGGTGTTAACTGTAAATTTTAAATTCTTTGCAAACTGATGTTAATTTTTTAATTTCATATTTTTTATTTTAAGTTTTGAGACATTTGGATGAGTTTTATAATTTTAAACTTTCAGGGTCTTTTCTGCAATTTTAAAACTTTTTATGGTTTTTTTACAATACTTCATGTATTATAATATGTTATCTACTTGTAATTTCTTTATCTTAACAAACTAATATCATTTTTATGTTTTATATATTTTATTAATATTTTAGTTTTTTTAAATTGTTAAGCTAAACATGGTTCACATAAGATTAGGATAAGATATGATTATGATTAGGATAGATTAAGATATAAATAAAATATTCAAAATAGTGAAGGGTAATATTGACCATTGAAAATTAGAATTTGATTATAGATAAGGTAGTTCAAACTATAAAGGGGTATATTTGTCTAAAAAAGATTTTCCGAACTCGTACTTTTAAAGGGAGTATGATATATTTTATAAATTTGCATAAATTATGATTTTGTATATAAATATCATAAAATATTATATTAGAGGGAAATATCATAAACTTTTAATTCAGCTGAAAAAACAAATATCTTTCTATTTGATAAAACTATCACAAGATAATTTTTATTAAAGACAACCATCATGAGTATTCATCTAAAATCACTGTAGCCTGTGAAGGCACAAGAACAAATCTAAAATCACTAAATTATCATGAACTTTATGATATTGTCAAATACTTACCATGATTCTTTTACTATAATAAAATTCCATCTATATTTCTCATAATATATGATATTTTTCTATTGATTTGAAAATTTTTGGTATTATTCACAAATAGAAATAGCTTGTGGTTTTATATTAGTTTTGTGAAATTTGCACTTGTTAACCTTTTTGTTTGGGTTTTTTTTTTTGCATTGTACAACCTCAAAATTTTGTATTTTTCTATTTTGTTATTTAAAAATAATAATTGCGCACGTATACCATCTAAAAAATGTATAATATTTTTTTAACTATACCCCGCTTTCGTTAACAATTGTGCATTGTCTTTAATTAAATTTGTTTATTAAATATAGATTGTTTTTAACTAAAAGTTCAAACTATGATTTTATTTTTTTCTAGAGGTTCAATGATATAGTATAGGAAAAATATGACGCACCGAGTTCAAAACTCGCAAAGATAAAACTCGCCAAGGTCGAACTTGAATTGCTTAGCAGGAGGACTAGATTAGATGAGATCAGTGTTTAGTCAACTCCACAGGTGGATATACTGCAAACCAAGTAAACCTTTGGAGATACAGATCTAACTTCAATCTCTGCCACATCTCCCATGGTGGGAATTCGAAAATGAGTAATCTACATTCTACACCTTAATTATTATGTAGTTGTATTCTATTTTACTTCTTCCTCTCATTCTATTCTCTTTAGGGGCTGTTTGTTTCACAAAAAAAAAGGGAAAAATGTGTCCAGGCCCCAAAAACATAAACTTCATGTGCTGCAGCCCCTTCTAGTTTCCCCCATGTGGTTCAGCCCCTTGAAGTGTGACGTTTTGTGCTGCAGCCCCTTTTTAACAATTATTACATGCCAACTAAGCTAAAATCCCCAAAATAACCTTACCCCCTCTTCACAATCCTTCAAACCCAGTTCTCTCTCTCTCTCCCCCCTCTCTCTCCCCTCTCTCTCTTTAAAAACAAGGGTTTTATCAAGCTCGTCGCTCTGGCCCTCGCCCTCCTCGCCGTCGCCACCTCCGCCCAGGCTCCCAAGCCTCCCCCGAGTTCGTCGCCGCCTCCCCTCCTCTCCTCCGCCCGACCTCGTCGCGGTAGCTCGCCGTCGCTCCCCATCTCGCCCTCGACTACGCCGGAGTTCGTCGCTGTGCCTGCCACTTTTGAACCCATAGTATGGTAGGCCGGAGGAGGATGACCAAGAGAAAAGAGTGCATGATGCTCAAGAAAAGTAAAAATGAAGGGGACAGAATAGAACTAACATTGTGCAGATTAGAACTAACACTGTAGACAGAATAGAACTAACATTGTAGACAGAATAGAACTAACATTGTGCAGATTAGAACTAACACTGTAGACAGAATAGAACTAACATTGTAGACAGAATAGAACTAACATTGTAGACAGAATAGAACTGTAGACAGAATAGAACTGTAGACAGAATAGAACTAACATTATAGACAGAATAGAACTAACATTGTAGACAGAATAGAACTGTAGACAGAACAGAACTAACATTATAGACAGAATAGCATATTCTTGTACTTTAACTTGGAACTAGATGCAACTTATGACTCTGTCTAGTTTCTGGTATTGGTTTATGATTCAACAAATGAGCATGCTCATATTCTTTACAGAAATTTACACCCTGTCATTAGATTGAAATAGAGCATTCTGGCTGTTTCGTCATTGGTTGACAATAACAGTATCAGTTTCTTAATGTGTTCCTCTGCCTGTTTAAGCTCTCGAGCTGGACTTCTGGATTACTATAGACATGTAGTTCGTTTGCATACAAGTTTTAGTGGTTTGAAATTGACTACGTGGTTACAGTTTTCTATTTTGGAAATGGGAACGTATCGTAAATCATGCAGCATTTTGCTCCTTGGCAACATTTTGGCTGACTACTATTCTCAATTCTGTAAACAGGAACCATGCTTTGAAAATGGGCAAAAGCAGCAGGAAGACTCTACACAATTGTCACGAGTGTGAAGAATCTGCGAGACATGCCGGAATGCCTCAATCTTTACTTTGAATCCCTTCAACCAAGTTCGTGCCGCTTATTGAGTTTGTAATTTCTGGTGTTACCAACCACAATTATTTCTGTCCAGAATTGTCCAAAATACAATCACTCTATAAGAAAGTTGTTGGGTCAATTACAAACTTGGTTGAAGGGATTCGAAGTAAAGATTGAGGCATTCCAGCATGTCTCGCAGATTCTTCACACTCGTGACAATTGTGTAGAGTCTTCCTGCTGCTTTTGCCCATTTTCAAAGCATGGTTCCTGTTTACAGAATTGAGAATAGTAGTCAGCCAAAATGTTGCCAAGGAGCAAAATGCTGCATGATTTACGATACGTTCCCATTTCCAAAATAGAAAACTGTAACCACGTAGTCAATTTCAAACCACTAAAACTTGTATGCAAACGAACTACATGTCTATAGTAATCCAGAAGTCCAGCTCGAGAGCTTAAACAGGCAGAGGAACACATTAAGAAACTGATACTGTTATTGTCAACCAATGACGAAACAGCCAGAATGCTCTATTTCAATCTAATGACAGGGTGTAAATTTCTGTAAAGAATATGAGCATGCTCATTTGTTGAATCATAAACCAATACCAGAAACTAGACAGAGTCATAAGTTGCATCTAGTTCCAAGTTAAAGTACAAGAATATGCTATTCTGTCTATAATGTTAGTTCTGTTCTGTCTACAGTTCTATTCTGTCTACAATGTTAGTTCTATTCTGTCTATAATGTTAGTTCTATTCTGTCTACAGTTCTATTCTGTCTACAATGTTAGTTCTATTCTGTCTACAATGTTAGTTCTATTCTGTCTACAGTGTTAGTTCTAATCTGCACAATGTTAGTTCTATTCTGTCTACAATGTTAGTTCTATTCTGTCTACAATGTTAGTTCTATTCTGTCTACAATGTTAGTTCTATTCTGTCTACAATGTTAGTTCTATTCTGTCTACAGTTCTATTCTGTCTACAGTTCTATTCTGTCTACAGTTCTATTCTGTCTACAATGTTAGTTCTATTCTGTCTATAATGTTAGTTCTATTCTGTCTACAGTTCTATTCTGTCTACAGTTCTATTCTGTCTACAATGTTAGTTCTATTCTGTCTATAATGTTAGTTCTATTCTGTCTACAGTTCTATTCTATCTACAATGTTAGTTCTATTCTGTCTACAATGTTAGTTCTATTCTGTCTATAATGTTAGTTCTATTCTGTCTACAGTTCTATTCTATCTACAATGTTAGTTCTATTCTGTCTACAATGTTAGTTCTATTCTGTCTACAGTGTTAGTTCTAATCTGCACAATGTTAGTTCTATTCTGTCCCCTTCATTTTTACTTTTCTTGAGCATCATGCACTCTTTTCTCTTGGTCATCCTCCTCCGGCCTACCATACTATGGGTTCAAAAGTGGCAGGCACAGCGACGAACTCCGGCGTAGTCGAGGGCGAGATGGGGAGCGACGGCGAGCTACCGCGACGAGGTCGGGCGGAGGAGAGGAGGGGAGGCGGCGACGAACTCGGGGGAGGCTTGGGAGCCTGGGCGGAGGTGGCGACGGCGAGGAGGGCGAGGGCCAGAGCGACGAGCTTGATAAAACCCTTGTTTTTAAAGAGAGAGAGGGGAGAGAGAGGGGGGAGAGAGAGAGAGAGAGAGAGAGAGAACTGGGTTTGAAGGATTGAGGAGAGGGGGTAAGGTTATTTTGGGGATTTTAGCTTAGTTGGCATGTAATAATTGTTAAAAAGGAGCTGCAGCACAAAACGTCACACTTCAAGGGGCTGAACCACATGGGGGAAACTAGAAGGGGCTGCAGCACATGAAGTTTATGTTTTTGGGGCCTGGACACATTTTTCCCAAAAAAAAAAAGAAAAAAAAAAAGAAAAAGAATTCAAGGGCTAACAATGATACAATGAGAAAACAAAACAAAAAATGGTGTACTTCTCCAGTGTTTGGTTTAACAATTAAATTCACGAAAAGGATCTAAGAACCATATGACACCTCAGCAAAAGCTTGAAATCCAAATCCGAACTAAAGGGTTGGAAATAGTCTGAAAACCAGTTAAAAAGAAAACAAGGTTGGAAATAGGCTGAAAACCAGTTAAAAAGAAAACAAAACCGAAAATGGTGTACTTCTCCGGTGTTTGGTTTAACAATTAAATTCACGAAAAGGATCTAAAAACCATATAACACCTCAGCAAAAGCTGGAAATCCAAATCCGAACTAAAGGGTTGGAAATAGGCTGAAAACCAGTTAAAAAGCAAATAAAAAATTGACAACCTATCTCGCTAGGAGAGGTTCTCTATTTTTCGTTTCTATTTACTGTGGATATGTGAGGAAACACATATCCTTTCTAATATTTGGGTCAACCAAACAAATTACCCAATATTTCATGAAACCCCAAAAAAATGAAAGAACCCATGGAAAAGGATATTTATGATGGAAAAGGACATAATTATGGAAAATCAACCAAACAGGCCCTTATAGACCGCACAATCCCCTCCCATCATCCACCAAATCATTCAAATCGCAAGCCATCTACATCTCTCAAGACAGCTAGCCAGGCTTGAATCATAATAATAAAAATTTTGGCCAAAACTCAGATAGTGACATCACTGCAACGATGCCAGATACAAGTACATTCTTCCAACTGCGCCTCAGATTTTTCAACAAAGTAAATAACATACTACATATATCATAGAATGAAAATTTAGCAAAGCTTAGATGTGAGATTATTGTAACAATAACAGATACAATTACACGCTCCCCTAACTGTAATCGTCTCACATTTTTCATAAACTACAGCTGAATTTCTCTATAATAAAAGCTCTTACACATTTGCAACAGAGACTATTAAATAACCGACATATACGAATCTCAAGCATTCCAAATCTAACACTATTACAGGATTTCAGAAATTTAACCAAGTATATATATTAAATGGCTGAACAAAACTAATATACTACCAGGAAAAAGTTGCAGTTAGTACTTTACAGGAGTCCGCCAACGCAGAGGTCAAATTATAAAGCTCGGCTTTGAGATAGAAGTCGTTCACCTTCTCCCATGCGAGCCATAACCCCACGACTTTTGATGCGGTGAAATTTTACATTGATCACTCTGGGGGCAAGACCAAGACCCGTTTTTTCAGAGAACAAAAACTAAAATCTATACTCCCTACGAGAGACCTCTGACTGCAGGACTGTTCAGTCTTGCTCGATGAGGAAAGACCGATGATGGCCTGCCAACTGCTTCCAATATTCTACTGAATACCACTTTTACAGGGACACAGGTAACCAGAGGAATTCCTTCCTCGGGTTTGATCAACCCATCTAATATATCACTCCTCTTGAAATTCTTCATATCAGTTGCAAGAGAAGAAAGAGTCCTCGTTTTCTGGTTTGAAATGTTAGCTTTCTTCACAGGTTTCTTCTGGGATTTGACTGGCATTGTAGGCCGTCGAGCATTAGAATTTCTCTTCTTAAAGTAATTAGTGTATGCTTTCTTAAGAGGCGGTCTTATGTCTTGATCTGAATCGAGTTGGTCAGCATCCTCCTCAAACGCTGATGTTGCTGGGTGAGAACGAGGCATTCGATGCATTACAGTCCTTTTGGCTGTTCTCCTGAAAGCAGGCGGTATAGAACTTTCCTCTACACCAAAGTCATATCTTGATACAAGATGGCCACTTGAACCATCTTCTAGTATCTCAATTTGAACTGGGTGACCAAGAATCGGTTTGCCACCATTCCCTTTACTCGACAAAGAAACCCAAGGGACATGCTCTCCTTGATAGCTTCGCTTTTGAACCTGGATGTCAACATCTACGATCATGGACTCCATTTCGTAACTGAAACGATCAGCATAATTTGGGCCAAATTCCTCATCTGACTCCTCCCAGAAAGCACCTCTTCTGGCCATATGAGATGATGGTCCATCAGCTCTCCAGCTTGTAGGGGACAATAAATGAGAATCATTGTCAGAATCATTGAAGCTACCATGGTCTTTAACCCCTTGCAAGGCAAAAGGGTATCTCCGATTTCCGTAATCCAAATCTTCCTCCAACATATCATCCCCATCAGGAGCGAAGTGGGATGATTCTTTCTTATGGTGGAAAGATTGTCCTGCAGCCCTATGGCCAGAAGAATTTGTTCTCATTTTAAAGCTGGTGCCCAAACCATTGTGCTCATCCGCATGACCGGAGACCTTGGCATCCATAAGATCCATGTGCCTCTTTGGTAAATTTCGTATGTTGCGCTTCCCCTTCATGTTCCATTTGGAAACTCCTGCATCAGCAGAGGCATCGATCATCTGATCCTGAAGGCGTAAATGGGGTGTATAATCAAGAGGAGGCACTTCAATGCTGTCCAGATCTCTGTAGTCTTCTGAAACTTGAAGTACAGAAGGTTCACAATCTTTTGGCTGTGGCAACTGTGTCTGAGTTGTATCTGTTAACCAAAATGGACGGATGAAAAGTGAAAACAAAATCAGTAACTCAGCCAGCAGCTAAGGAAGTAAAAATATCAATAAAACCTTATTTAAGGAAAAATCATATCTACATATACATACAAAGAAGAAGAAACACAGTAACCTATAAGCAATCTATTGGGAGTAAGATTTTTAAAAAAATCTATAAAAAATAAAGATAATGAAGATAAAGAATTCATGATGGTGTAGTTCAATAACTACCAAGGATGATTCTGTAAGATAGTTATTATTGAAGGTTCTAACTGTTTGAACCTAGCCAAAGGTTGCGGAATACAGATCCTACCTTTTAATTTCAGTTTTCCAGTTCAAAAGATGAAGGCCTTAATGGAGGATGAAACTAACTAGGGTTCAAATTCAGCACCTTTAACAAGGATAGATGGTTTGTACCTTCATCAAAGCCTAACAACAATACATTTTCTCTTGACACTGCACTACTGCAGTTACCAAAGAGCTGCATAATCTAAACAGGCAAAAGTATCAGATTGAAAAAACAATACTTCAACTAGCAGAGGTTTATGACTTGTTGTAGAGACATATCTTGCACTAAAGTACCAGACTAAAAAAAACTATGCTTCAACTATCACCCCTGAACAGTGAACACTAAAAATACTTGTGGTAGATAACATACACAAGGTCATAGTCTTCATACACGCGCGTGTGCACAAAAAAAACATATACAAGGTCATAAATGAGGACATATTTGATCTTAAAGTTAGCACCTTGAAGACTGAAATTCTCCATAAGAGAGACAACAGAGGTGATGATAATCTCCAAATTGTATGAGAAGGCCATTTATCTTTAATATGTAGACATGCAATTTCATTTGAATCTTGTTCACATCATGTGCAAGAAATGAATGCAACGTCGGACAACACAATTTATCATCCTTGGCCTTCTTCTAGATTATTTTGCAGTCTGCAGGATTTCTTGTGTGGCCTCAATTGCATATGATTAATCGATTCTATGACAAACCTTTCTCTTGTCCATAGTTTCTTACCCAGGACTTTGGCATCAATCTACAGGATTAATGACGGGGCATCAGCTTTACTATGGTAGCAAATTTCAATCATCTTCTGACCCTCTCAACAAAGCAGTTACCCAACCAACTTAGAAAAGCTTAGATTATTTTGTTGGCAAGGGAAATCACCTTTTTGTCTTATCAGGCCTGATATATCAAAGCACATGTTCTATACTAGTATATATATAAATGGCAAAATGTGGTGGAGATCTTGTACAAACAAAGAAGTGGCTACCTATATGAAAGCTGCAAATGTTGACCATTTACATCAAAAAATAATGGCTGCAATTTTCTCACAAAAACAACAGCATAGCAAAAGGAATTTTTGTTGACTAACGAAGAAATTTTCAGCATCCATATGACTGAGATGCAAGAACTGTAACATTTTTCTTTGGTTAAACCAATAAATCATCAAATACTGCCAATCAAAGAACCAAACAAAAAGGTGAGATTCTTGTAGCCTTGGTAAGTCAGAGACAGAATAGCATAACGATACATGTCTGTAAGTCCTCATGTAAAAATGAATGTATTCATATACATAAGCATAGGTATGTGCACAGATGTATGGATAGGAGTAACCTATTAGTACAAAATGCATTGAATTGGTGATACACCAGAACCAACAATTAAAATGACATTATACTAATCTATCTACCTAAAGTAGAGACAGTGGAATACTGATCAGAGAAGCAACAACTTTTGATCTTCTAGTAAAAACGTAATTTGGGTGTAACTACATGTTAAAATCCAGAGATTGTATCACATCAAGTAGCTGAAGCACCTCACGTATTTAGTAAATTGAAGTTCTAAAGCTCACACTCTAGCAAGTAAAGAAAGAATTTTAATTCACTAATTCACTAGTTAGCTATTCCTAATGATCATAAAACTCTGCCTGAACTACACCGGAACATTGCCACATGGTGTTTAACAGATCTTAATGCCAATGTGAAAATGGCAAGTACGAAGGTTTCGACAGAGGCCAAATAACCAATTTCCACTTCACAAACAAAACTGGTAAATAGATACAGAAATGATACCTGTCAAGTTTCCTTCTTCTCCCGGGTCAGGCTCCAAATAGTCAGTTTCAGATGAATCAGATTCAGTCTCTTCAGCCAAGCCAGAAGAGGAATACTCCTCTGCCCAAGTACCAGGGTAATCAAGATGGTTGCTGGTTCCAAGCTGAGTTGTTGTACTGGGGATCTCTTCATAAGGATATCCATTATCATCCAGAGNTACATGCAGCACCCATATGATCCATTTCTCCATCCATTGGAATGCCAGAAGAATCATACTCAGAATGAAAAGAATGAGAAGCTGGTAATTTTGCACTGCTCTGCAAAACTTGATGAAGTGGCCGACGCCTGTCTCGTTTCTTAACAATAGAATCTTCATCATTACCACCTTGTGTTCTTTTCCTCTTAATTGCTGAGGAACTTTTGCTGCTACCAGTATGTCTTTTATCAATCATCATATCCCCCATATTGGAAATATTGTCCGCATAAGGGTCAACAGGCTTGTGGGAAGCTTCCCACGTGACACACTGGGAGAATTTTTTCTTCGGCGGAGCAATCCTTAGACCAAAGTCCTGAAGTCCTCTCATCCGAGGAAGGGAGTCATCATTATACTCTTCCCAGCCAGATCGCTTACTAGCTTTTCCTTTATGAACATACAACGAATTGCTCATATTCTCTTCTTCACCTGACAAAACTGCCTTTCTCGGGAACGTATAAGATTTGTTTGCATATTTGCTATGAAGTTTAGACTCATCATCTCTCATGTAAATATCTGAAGAGAAGCTATGCAACTCTCTTCTATGAGCACCCGAACTTCTATGGCTTGAACCATTAGAAATTGTTCCAAGTTTCTGATGTTTCATACCAAGCTGCTGTTTCTCGAGCTCAAGAGCATGAAGAATAGCATCCTCTCTACGTGCATATTTCTCCCTTTTCTTTATAGGAATGCCTTGGGAGGCTTCAGCCCTTTCGATACAAGCATCAAATTCTCCACACCGAAATGCCTTCACGCGTTTAGATTTCTCTAGATTGTACCAGTCTCTGTCCAATGGATCCAAAGAAGTGAGGAATAAGTTGATGGACCACACAACCTTGTGAGATAAAAAAAGGAGTCTGTACTGACGAAATAAGGGGGGAAAGTTGCTTGGAAAACTGAGGAAATACTGAGTATAAATAACAGATCATAGCATTAAAAAAAACATAAACCTAAGATCCCATGCATGTGGCCCATCTGCATCTAGAAATAAATGAAAAATAAAAGATAAAGAAAAATAGTTGGCAGTAGAACAAAATGTATGTCCAAAAAGCTGCAACAAATAAATGTACTTGATAATAATGGTGCATGTATCGGTATCAACTTAATTACATTGAATATCTAATTGTGCTCCTCAATAGCAACAAAAACAGTGAAGAAGTCAACGGGTCGCAATTGACTACTATGGACAACATGGTAACAGGGATTCAAAACGCCCACAACCAAATCTTGCATCAATAACTAATACTGTAGTGTAATATAATGCAACACCATGGCTTTCCCTCAATAAATACACACAGACACTCGCTATGGACAACATGATAACAGGGCTTCACAAAGCCCACACCCAATCTTGCATCAATATACTAATACCTATAGTCTAGACTATAATATTATCCAATACCATGTCTTTACATCAATATAATACATTCTACGTGCGCATGCGCGTGCGTGTTTGTGCGGGCACACAAACACACACTACAAATCATATGTATGTTTTGGACATATAAATACATGTTTGAGCAGCTGGCATGAGGCACATCAAGTGTTAATTAAAGTCACTGCGTGGAAGCCATTAATCACTTGGATAAATGCCTCACAAACGAAAAAAATCATCAAATTAAAATTAAAAGAAAAGAGGGGAAACATTAAAATTACTTTATCTGATAAGATCAACAGAAAAGGTTCCTTCACAATAAGATTACCAGGATTAGTCCCATAAGCAATGCACAAAAACAACACATACAATAAGACCATAGACACATCATAATTTTAAATTGCCAGACCTCAATGGCTTTGGATAAATTACATTATTCTTCATTTCAAGACCTCAAGGGCTTTGGATAAATTACATTATTCTTCATTTCAAGACCTCAAGGTATGTGGATAGGAAATAAATGTAGTTTAGCTATAATGTTGCCACAACATGCACTTAGACAGGTAGTACAATCAAGATGATTACATCTTCGATGATTGGATCTATTAAAGTTTACATACACATAGGTAATACACCTGAGATTACAGGCCTATAGTAAAGGCTATCCACTGCGTGTTGTTTCTAGTTTTTGAAGGATTGTGCATAAAATACAAGTGTCATTGCAATCATGCAATTTGCTAGCTTGCACAACCAAGTTGGTTCGGCCTAAGTGTATTGAGGTATAGCACAGGTGGGGCTCAATTAGCAAACATTTGCATGATAAAACAAGGATTCTTTTGCAGTAGATTCTACATAATGAAGTGGTAAGAAGTCTAAATCATAACCTAGTAGCAAGCTTATTAAAAACATGCCCAATTCAATAATTTCTGGAGTGGATTTCCTCCTCCATTCCAATAAAATGGATAGTGTTTATTAATTTAAGAATAACAGAAAAGCCAAGTTTCACTCTGGGTCTCGTGTTGTTCATGAGTTTAGGAATAATAGAGACTATGGAAAAACATCTTCAATAACTAATGTTGTAAAAAAAAGTTGCAACAAACGGAGTAAAAATCTCTCTCCCATCTATGAACTTAGGATAAGCAGCTTCTAAAAAGCCTTAGCCCAACAACATTTATTAACTCATCAATCCTTTGACATGATATTAATATGCTTCAGCATGAGTTATAATAATCAAGTGAGAATCTTGAAATATACACAACTTTGAATTTTATACCATATCATATGGTAAGGGAAGGCTAGAAAACCCATGTTCTATAGCCACAAATCTTGCCAAATGTATTCTATAAAAGCCAGCCAAAAGATGTCATTTTAGATCTTACATGCATAACTCACAAACAGAACTATATGCTTATGCATAGGGGTGGAAACGAACTGAATTCGAATCGAATACCACAGTATTCAGATTCAGATTCAGTTAATTTTAACAAATTCAAATTCAAATATGAATTCCAATCGAATAGGAAGAGTGTTCAAATTCGATTCATTAATTATCTGAATATACGTTGAACGTTCACGAATATCAAATTAACACACTTGGTAAGTCACAAGATTCTTAAACACGAGGTCTTTAGTTCCACCCCTATATATGACATAATTTTTTAAATACTTTCTTTAACATTTTACTTAATTGTTATTATGATATTTACCTATAAGGATTATTCTATATGTTTATAAATTAATAATATAATATCTATAAATAAAAATATTATTTATAATATACAAACATATAGATAATATAATGTAATAATATAAAAGTAAAATACATAATGAATATTTAATAATCAAACGAATCGAATAGATAATTGGTTAAATTCTATTCGTTTATATACTGAATACTAAAACTATTTGTTTATTGTTAAATGAACTATCGAATCGAATTTAACCAAATACTTAGATGAATAATAAACAAACTATTTGTTAATTATTTGTTCATTTCCACCCCTACTCATGCGAGTTGTATAAACCTGAATCTATAGTATATGTATACAAATTTGTATGATTAAATCTATAACAACAAAATATAAACATGGACAAACTATCTTGTTGATGCCCAATGCATCCAAAAGACTGTGAAATGCCTATATTCTCATTAAGCGATCGATCAAAAAGTGAATAAAAAAGGGACGAGTCTATCTTGAATAGAATTATGTTAGGAAAATACTACTAAATTCTTTAGGACAAAGTGGTATACAAATAAAGAGTACCAATCAGTTGCAGAGCCTTTCTTTTTTGTTTTTTTTTTTGGGTGGTGGGGGGTGGCTGTTGGGGGATATAAAACTATTATACTATGCATAGACCAAAAACGATCAAATAGTGACAACCATACATTTAAGTAGGTGAAAGAAGAACATAATGTAAAAGTTTTAAAAAAAATAAATATTTTAATGAATACTTAAATCATTTCATATGCACTCGTCTTTGAATTAACATACTCCAATCTTCTAAAGTTTCATATTAAAAAATGTCTCGTTTATAGTTGGTTTTTTCCATAACCAAAAACTCTTTTTGAAGCCTTGACAAATTGACGATAAACTATAAATTATATTATTGAACTTTTTTCAAACAATAATAAGAAGAAATTAAATAGTTTTAACTATCACCATTTACAAATAATTACAAAAGTATGTGAATATAGAAATTTGGTTTCACATATCTACTTCTTAATGTAAAACTTTATGGAATTGGAAGAACCACATTTCACAATTTCATTACAAAATTATAAAACCATATGAAATTTAAACCCTATTTAAAATTTCTACTATTAAATGCAAAAGTACATGAAAATTGAAACCAGTTTCCCTATTATGCATAAAATGCAAGGAAAATTACATGAAAAAAAAATAATGCGTGTGTACATAGGGTCTTTTCATATTAGTCCACTAAATCATTTAAGTGATTAGTACTTCTACTTAGAGGCTAGTTGAAATTGAGACTGTATTCCATCACCTTTAATAGATTTGGACGTAATAGCAGCTATGCCCTTATCTGCTCAAACCCAAACCCCAGCGAAAACTTCACTTCACTAGAGAGCAAGCTGGGGAAAAATTATATTAGACTAAACTACTATTTTGAGCCTAGTTTTGGTGGACTTGATGTTGAATTTGGTTGATTTGATAAATACATGTCCCTAATTAATCACTATCCAACTGTGGTTTAATTTGGATGGTAAATGTAAGAAAGGGTGATTTTAAACATGTCAAGGATTTAGGGGACTAATTGCAAAATATGAATATTTGGGGGACAAATTTCAAATATGAAAGATTTGGGGGAGGTGTTTCAAAAATGAAGCTCTGGGGACTAATCTCCAATAAGAAAGGTTTGAGGGGAATAATATGAAAAGAACTCATACATATGAGGTTTGTTTGCAAAAAGCCAGAAGGACCATGCCACCCCCAGACCCCCTTGCCTACGCCACTGGTACCAACAAATCTCTCAAAATTGGAAGATGCATACAAACAGAGAAGTAAGATTTGTAACAAATTGGATCACAAACAACCAGGGCTATGGTGGATCTTGAGATTGCATCTCGGTTACATTAAAGTTATAATCTTATTTAAAGATGAGAGTTGACAATAAGCAGCTGATGGCATGCTGACTGATAGATTAGTGCTGATGAATAAAAAAATTACTCCTTAGTACTGTTGAATGAGGATAATTAATCAAGTAGCAAAATCAGTAAACCAATAATCTAGGATTAAGACCTTGCTGTAATTAAACATGTTTCTGAATGCACAGCATCTCAAAGATGATGTAATTCAATCAGATAGTGCAATTTAAAAAATATATGCTTATTGCTTCCATATTGCTAATCTTTGTTATGTCTCACATGGTAGTTTCAGGATAAACACCTAGAATCCCCGATGAAAAATTAAGCATATACCTTCAAATGCTCAGTAAATTCCATTTGAATCTCAAGGTTTAAATTTATGTAATTCTAAGAAATTCTAGCAGTTATGACAGATAAGTTCTGCAACAAATGGCAGGCCGCAACCAGCTATTTGATTTTTTTTTTTCAAATATGGCTTTGAGAAAGATACAAAATACATGCATGTTTTGGAGAATCATTTTTAAACTGAATGTACACAGCCTAGAACCGTAGTCATAGCATCTTAAATTTTCATCTGTTGCAATGAATATAATGATTTTTCCCCCTTCCCTCTAACAGAAGCCAAATCCTAATCTTGAAACCGTTAAGTCACCATATCCAATGACCACTTTGTCAGCAAGCTAAAAATTTACCTAGTAATTCAACAGTAATCATCCGAAATGAAAACGATTTGGGCCAAACTTGCAATAGATAATATCAGTGTGGATGGGTTTCTGAATACCTGCATCAGAAAGATAAATACTCTTAACATAATATGAACTATTAAAAGGACTAGCTTGAATGTTTTCTGCAATTCCTTAGTGGATTACACAACCCAGAAAAGAGTCCAAAACTTCTAATTCCAAGGATATGTTTCAAGTTTGAGTGACCTGATATCCTATTGAAGGGTTTCAAAACAGAACCAATCAAGTTTAGCAGCGGTTTTCCAGTCAAAATCCAACCTTTCCAATTAGATATTAACCAAAAGTTCTATCCAGAATAGAAGTTCTGATCCCTGAGTTTTTGTCACTAGTTAATGACCAGAACAAACTAGAGAGCTTTTCGAGTGACTTTTTCATGGTAATCTTATACTCTCTCGACAGGTAATGCATTCTCAAAACAATAGCAGATAAATCTAAAATTAAAAACAGATAAAAAAAAGGCAAGAGAGAGAAATCTCACACGCTGGCATCTTCTCGCCCCAAAAGCTTCACCGGCGTCCCCGATCTCGGCGACATAAGATGCGACGCCGAGAGCTCCTCCGGCCCCAGAATCCTCCCCGGCCACCACGATCCATTCCTTCTCCTCACCCAAACTATCGTCCCAACCGAGCAGTCGACGATGCTCCCGCCTTCACCTCCATCAGAGCCCCCCATCGCAGTGAGATCGAAACCCTAGAAAGCGATCGCTTCAGCCGCCGGAGAAGGCGAGCGCGATCACGGCGATTACAGTTACCGCGGATCTGATCCAAGGAGCGCCTAGGGTTTCCATTCACGCGCAGCAGGGCCTCATCGATCTGATCTCCTTCATTCTTCAGAGCTCCCGCGAGATCGCCTTCGTCGTCTTCTCCGTTCGTTCTCTTCGATGCAATCGATAGATCGATCGATCGACAGGCTCTTTTACTTCTTTCGGCGAATCGAAGAGGACTCTCCTATAAGATCCTCTGTTTTTTCTTTAAAAAAAAAATTTCCGAGTTTTTCAGCGGGATTAAGAGAAAATAAAATTTAAGTTATTAACTTTTTAATCAAAATAAATAGGATGAAGGCGGTGACAATATCCTTTGGTTAGGTATTAAACTGGCCGGGGGTGACTGATGATGTACAATGTCCTTGAGGATTACTTTTAAGTTAACATGCATTCTAATTTCTGACCGTTGGATTGAGATCGGAGGGAGAGAAGTACGTCACTGACGGAACTCGAACACGTGAGAGTGACGACGGATTCGTACGCCAGAGAGGACGCGTTAGCGAGCAGGTGCCACGTCATCAAACGAACCGCGACGGTACCAATTTAGATCCGGTTCAGGTTCAGCTAATTGGGATTAATGCGCTGACTGACTGCGCTTCCGCTTGGTTCGTTGGGAAATCACGGGCGTATGTTATTGCAACGCGTGCATAAGATATTTGGAGAAACATGTAAATACTGAGATGTATTTATTTCTTCCGATAATTATTTCTTTTTAAATCCTTCATATCTGGAATCGGTTTAGTTTCGCTTGTGGATTTGTTGCGTAGGTTGCTATTCAAGTGCGCTCTCTCTTCTAACAAGCTTTTGCTGATCTATCGGCTTTCGGATCGAGAGAACGTTGCTGGAGCGTGTTCTCGTTGGTCCTAAGCTATCAACGCCTAACATCTAGCGGCTGATTGTAGAGCAAACCAAATATAAATACCCATTTCAAGAAAACCCCCATTAAAAAACGCATATCAAATTAAAAAAAAGGTACTAGGTTGACGAAACCTCACCGACTAGCGACAGTCTTTTCTTTGGAAGAAACATGGAAGATTATTTAGTCGAGTGAGCCGCTAATAACTAGGTAGGAATCGAACTTTATTCATAAAAGACAATTATGATGAAATTAAAATCCTACCAAAATCTAAGTACTCAACTCCAGACCCTATATATATATTTTTTTCTTGCACGAACAAAGCACTCAACCATGGTCACATCGTTTAATAATGATACGAGTCATCAGTGCCTTTCCGTGGTTGCTTTTCTTCTTCCTCTTGGTGTGCATTTGCAAATTTATCCATCCGGCAAAAACATTGTCTACGCCATAACTTAAACATCTTCAACAAATTAATTGAAAAAAAAAGAGTTGCAAAAATGAATAACACAGCTCGTCTATAATGAAATATTTTCAGATAATTCTGGTGTTCTAAACTAATAGAGCATGAATCTTCAAATACAAAAAGCAGGTTGCATTTTCTGTTAGCTGACATTTTTATCAGCAGATGCCAAAAATGCACAATTTTGAATCGGCCCCTGTTGAGCGAGTCTAATTAGTATGTCTAAGTTTAGAGTTGCATGTCTTTACACAATTCTCTCAGAAAAAGAACTACACAAAGAAATCAAACTGTAAGTATGATATAATCTCCTTCATGCCATCAAATCAGCAGCTGAAACCCTAAACCTAGTAGCTAGCAGGAAAAGTTAGGGCTGGATACTGCCTATCCACAACCTCGAGGAGCTTCTTAGCGATTGCACCAGCATACACTGAAGATCCTTCACATATCTGCATGGAGAGGAAAAAAAGAAGGGGGGTGAAAAGGAAATCAAACAACTAAAAAAAACCTGGATGTATAAATTTAATGGACTAAATATATGTTCTAACAATTAAATGCAACAGCATTGCTTAACATGGTACAGGTGCTATCCTTACCTATAAACTTAAATTAGTTTCTCTGACAGATTTTATGATGAATGTACTCATACCTTAAATCGAATAACATTTCACGGAAATGGCTTTAATGAAAATTTTGGTTAATGGCTTTTGCACTTTTAACTAAAAGCTTCTAGTTGCATATATATCATTATATGGATTATGATTTACTTACACATGATATATTGCTCAGTTAATCAGATTCGAGAAAAAATTGACGAATCACAATTGATAAGAGGCAATACTAGAAAGGAGAGAGTCATCAAACAAAACAAGGAACATAATTAAAAAATGGCTTAATTGCATATAGATCCCCTATACTATAGCCCAATTGCATGTAGACCCCCCTGTACTATAGGCCAATTGCAGATAGACCCCCTAGAGTGAATTTTTCTCTCTCACTCTTACAACCTCTGGATGTCTATTTGCCGAAAGCAATTATGTTCCTCTGAGGATAAAAGAGTCAACAGAGTTCCCTCAGGGGGTCTACAACAATAGAACTACAGGGGGTCTATCAGCAATTGGGCGATAATGCAGGGGTATCTGCAATAAGCCTTAAAGCTCTCAAGGTTCAATATCAAAGAAAGGGGATAAACCTTAGTGTTGAGCACGAACATGTAGCTATCTCCTATGTTTCCTCCAGAAACATGCACAAGGTCAAGTTGAAGCTCTTCAAGGGCCTTTGCAACATACACCAAACAATTAGGCTTCTTCTTCCGGTTCAGCTTAATATTCACTTCATCATCAATAATACGAACATCAACAAAGCTCTCCTTGGACTTCCTCTGAAGCCAAGAACACCTTAAGGCCCCATTGAGTGGGTGATCATCACCTCTTATAACAGATGAGCTCTCAATGTCACCAGCAGCCTCATCGTCAGCATTCAGCATTCTCCTCCTATCTCTTCCATGCTTCTTCTTCTCCACGAGTATTTTAAGCTCATCAACAGTTCTACGGAGCTCTTTAATGTAATCGATTGCATCTCCTACTATAGAGGCCCTATCTCCCTTATGAATATGCAAGAGAATATAATTAGCAATAACATGTATAAGATAGAAGCGGAAAATTCACGATTTTCCAAGTGATGTTGGAGTGGTCTCTTTAACTAATCAGAATCCTTACAAGGATAAAAATTAAGTATGAACATGAAGAAGGTGACAGTTCAGATTGATTATCCGCAAAAAAAAAAAAAAAAAAGAGAGAGAAAACATCACATGCATACAATCTGATAGAATGGTATTTCATCACTGATCAAAATTTCTACATGCGTATGAGAAGGAAGAAAGCTAAGTTGTTTTTTCTGTAACATATGAAAAACCAGAATTTAACAATTAACTAAAAATCTCATTGAAGAAAAGCACAAAGGTCGTGCTTCAAGGGTTAAGATAACATGAAGAAGATAATTGATAAAAGGAGACAGAACCAAATATAAGCATAAAAAAGTAATATGTATTATGAAGAAGATCTATCACATTACCCTTACAAAAATTTCAAAATATACTTATCCTTACAAATATAGAAAATATGTACGTTATGTGCAGTATCATCACAAATCAAAATGACTATATATGGGTAAAAAGGCAGAAAGCTAACCTGTTTTGCTAGTTTGAAAAATAAGTAAAATAATTCAACAATATTGCAATATGTATGGTATGTGTGCAATATTACCACTAATCAAAATGACTGTATGTGTGTGAAAAGGCAGAAAGCTACGTGTTTTGCTAGTCCGAAAAATAATTCAACAGATCAGATATAACCTAGGTTACTGGACACTTCGTTTTGGGTGCCGTGTCCATGTCGGACACTTGTTGGACACGGATCCACTATGGACACATCATGGGCACGTGCCCGATTTCTCCGTTACTTATAATCCAAAACTAGCTTCTTTAGTATATCGAGCTCACAACGAATAGGTATTTGAACCCGAATACTGAAACCATTACTCAAAGATTTGAAATACCTATCGTATCCCATGCTACCTAAACTAAATTTTTGTTGTTCAAGAATTGTTTGATTTAACTTGATACTTAATTGTTATAGATAGTAAAAGAAATATGCAAATGTTATGGGCAATTTACTAAAAGATTTGAAACCCGAATACTGAAACCATTACTTAAAGATTTGAAATACCTATCGTATCCCGTGCTACCTAAACTAAACTTTTGTTGTTCAAGAATTGTTTGATTTAACTTGACACTTAATTGTCATAGATGGTAAAAGAAATATGCAAATGTTATGGGTAATTTAATTCAATAATTGATCTAATGTAAATACACACACACACACACACACACACACAAACACATGTGTGTGTGTGTCCCTATGTGTCCTCGTATCCTGCCTTTATAAATTTATCGTGTCTCATGTCCGTGTCTGCACCCGTGCAACCTAGGATATAACTGAAACTCATCGGGAAAGAGCACAAAGGCTGTGCTTAAAGAGGCCAACTGACATGATCAGATATTGCATCATAAAAGTATATAAAACATGGCAAAGATGAAAGTAAGAGATCAAGTACATAAAGGCTACGAATATTCTTTCTATCAAAATGAAAGTGTATGAAGAGGCAAAACGTAAATCCATTTTCTTAGTTTGAAGAAATGAGAAAATAATCAATAAGGTCAATAAAACTAATGATCTGAAGGAGATGACTGATAGAGGAGACAAGATCAGATACATCCATCAACAATGTACTACTCACAATGTCTTTCTTTCTGAGTTTGAAGAGTCAAAGAGGATCTCTTGGTTTGTACAAGTCCTCTGAAAAGGTAAAAGAGAGTAGGAACTAGAAAGTAAATTGAAAAAAAAGGGAGATATGAACAAACTCAACCAGTACCTTTGTAGGGTTAGGAACCAGTGAGCTCAAAGCCTTATACTTCCCATTCAACTGCTCTCTCCTCTGCCTCTCAGTAGGAAAATTTCGCTTCACCTCACCTTTAATATCCCCTCTCCTATAATCCATCTCTTGAAAAACATCCCCAACTCCAATTCCACCTATCACACCCTCTCTCTCCTCCACCCCACAAAAAAGACCGTAATTCTGTGGCAGAGACTGATACAAATCCCTTAACACATTAGGTTGAGCACCAACAGTATATCCCATATGCATTGAGGGATCATAATACATAGAACTATCAAAAGTTATTGATGCCGCTGTTGTTGGAAGCTGCAGCAGGTTCAGGAGATCTGATGCAGGCCCAAATGTAGGATTGGGGTACATCTGATGATTGCTTGAGTCCCAGTTTGTGGTCTCCATTTGGAGTGCAACACTGATATCCCCCTGCATGAGGTCGAAGTCGAGATGGTTGTTACTTTCGAGGGTAATTGAGGTAGTGGCATCCTCGAGATCAATATGGAGGTTATCATCGAGTCCATTATTGTTGATGCTATTGTAATCAGGAATTTGGTAGGGGGTGTCAATCAATGAAGGTGCTAACAGGTTGGAGTCATGGGAAGGATCAAAGTAGCTTGAATCCTCATACATCTTTTTTCTCTAATATTTTTTCAGAGGATTAGCTTGTTCTAATGGGTTCACTGAATATTTTCTGTGTCTAAAACACATGAAGAAAGGGGAAGAGGAAGAGAAATATTATGAGCTCAAGGCAAGAAAAGCACCAGAGCCAACAAAGGAAGGAAATTAAAGAAGGGGAAGTAGAGATATTGATGGCGTATAAGTTGCACGGAGATCATGAATATTCTTGTGGTTCCTTTTGTTTCCTTCTTTTGGTTGCTATAATTGGATGGAAGAGAAATATTGAGAGGGAATAATCTTCATCGTCTTCCTTTTCCGTGAAGGGAAGTTGTTATTTGATGAGATGGGATTCTTCATTTGGTTATATCTCTGATCAAACAGAACTCTCTCATAGATCTTCTCACTA